CACACCGCCCGGACGCTCTGCCCCTCTGAGGGCGCCCCACACCGCCCGGACACTGCCCCTTCCGAGGGCGCCCCACACCGCCCGGACACTCAGCCCCTCCGAGGGCGCCCCACACCGCCTGGACGCTCTGCCCTTCTGAGGGCGCCCCACAGCGCCCGGACACTGCCCCTTCTGAGGGTGCCCCACACTGCCCGGACACTCAGCCCCTCCGAGGGCGCCCCACACTGCCGGGACCCTCCGCTGCCTCAGCAGCACTGGGCACCAGGCCTAGAGCTTGGCTGGCCCCAGGCACATAATGCAGCATCCTGTGGAACTGGGCACCAGGCACATAGCGCGATGTCCCACGGGCACTGGGAGCTCGGCCGGCCCCAGGCGCGTAGCGAGGTGTCCTGCGGCCTTGTGGAGCCACATCTCCAGCCCAGTTGGTATCCTGGTTCTCCCAGGATACCCTTGCCAGGGCGCCTCTGCTGGGCCCTGGTTGGAAGCAGGTGGTGTGTCCTGGGGCTCTCCGTCATCTGCCTCTGGCTTGATGGGTGGGGCCCAACAGGGGCCACAGCTCCTGGTTCTGGTTCTGCCTGGAGGAGTGCAGATGTGCCAAATGCCAATGCTCCCCCAGGCCATGCCAGCAGCAGCCTTGGTTCCCGATATCCCCAAACCCCATCTTCACTCAGACCCCTCTATGAAGCCTGCTGCTTTCAGCAGACGGGCTCTGTGCCGCCAGCGTGAGCACACGTGCAGACATGCATGGAGCTCAGGACCAAGCGTGTTCGCCTCATACACGGGGGCGTCCAGAAGGACACATCCCGCCTGGCCTTGCTGGAAACGCCCAGACTTGTGCATAGGCATCGGGTGCAGGGGCCATGAGGACGAGGACCACCCTGACGCACTTCTCTCTCTCCAGGCATCGGTGGGCTCCGAGAAGCTCTTTGCCCCAGAAACCGATAGAGGTAAGTGCGTCTCCTCAGCTCAGTTCCCGGGACTCTCAAGGGACGTGGTGTGCCCGGGTCTTGGTGGCAGGACGTACCTCTGAAGTCTGGTGCAGAGCTGGGTGGGACTAGGGTGCTGTGATTTCCAGGAGCAGGGGAGACGAGAGGACGCTGCTGAGCCATAGGCATGGCCTTGGTCCGCCTCACAGCAGTGGTTCCCAAAGTGGAACCATTAGGAATGCATGTTCTCAGGCCCCTCCCCAGGCTTGTGGGGTCCAACCCTCAGGGGAGCAGCTGGCACTGAAGGACCGCCCGCCACTGTGGCTTCTGAGTTGAAGAGAAACAGGACTCAGACACTTCCTTGGCCTTTCCCGGCCAGGCCTTCATGACCCATGTCTGAGCTGTGGGGAGGGGTGTCCACAGGCCAGCAGTCCTCTCCAGATAGGGAGCCCAGTGCATTCTTGGGGCCTCCTGGCTCTGGGATCCCAGCATTCCCAAGCCAGGAGCCATGGGGCCCCAGCTCCCTGCCTCCCTGGGTTTCCAGCTGGCACTGCCCTTTTGCTGGGGCGGCTTCCACCAAATGTGGTTGAACAGGACAGGCCTTGCTGGCACGTAGGTGGGCACTGGCAGGGATGGGCCCTGCTGCCCTGTAGCAGGCACGGCCTTTACCTTCAAGATGGAAGCCTGCTCACATCAGAGCATCGCAGCAAAGCAGGTACAGCAGGGGTGGTGTCGGACGGGGCGTGTGTGCGACGGGCCCCAGCAGGAGCGGCAGCTGGTGTCTCGGGGCTGTTGAATACTCGGCTCACTGCTGTTGCATCTGCACAGACGCTGTCCCGGTGAGGGCTGCAGGCGCTAGAAGGCACAGGAGGCCCCGCACATGGGGTCTGGTCCAGGTCTGCGTGGCCTGAGCCTCCTTGCATCCTGAGCACTGCTGTGACTGCACAGGACTGGCCTGGAGATGTGGGAGAGGGAGGTCCCGGTGGGCTAAGCTGGGGCGCTGGGAAAGCTGGGGAGACAGTGCCCGTTGCTCCCTGTCTTCTGTGTCCTCCGTGTAGCCCCTCTGCCGTCGCTGGGTGGTGGCTGCTGTGGAAGGTCTGGCCCCAGACGAAGAGTGAAGCTGGGGCTGCTTCCTGCTGCCCGTTTTTGCCTGGGAGGAGCTCCCTGAGGCCCCAGCAGACCAGGCCCTATGGTCACATGGGCAGGCATGGCAGCAGCTGTCCCTGTGGCCTCGGCTCCGCCATCCTGAGGCCCCAGGAAGGTAGCAGGGTCTGCCGGGGACATGAACGGGAGGTGTGGTGCTTGGAACCTGGTTTTGCTCCTCCTGCAAAACTGGGACCCCTAGCCATGGCAGTTCCCGCCCCCCCCTCAGGCAACAGGGGCCCCTTGGTGTGGACACTGCCTGCTCTTTGCTCCTGGGGACTTGATCTGAGACCTGCCTGCAGGAGCCTCAAAAGGAGAGTTGGGGGCGTGCATCGGGGGAGCCAGGCTCCAGGGGATCAGAAGGGCCCACGGGACCTGTGGGGGGGCATACCTAGATAGGCAGAAGGGTGGCCAGGGAGCAGTGTGAGGGCTGTGGGTGACGGGCAGTCACCGCGGGGGCAGCCTCCCACCCCGCCCCTGCCCAGGTGTCTAGGAAGTGGTCAAGCCTTACACCAGGGGGTTCCGTTAAGAAAAGGTGGGCACCAGCTGTGAGCACTGCTGCTGGGTGGGGCGGACACACCCTGGGCAGGGGCACATCCAGGGGCCATGAACGTGAGGTGAAGGCACACAGGCCCTGGTTCGTGCGTTCAAATCTCTCCTCTCTCATGCCAAGTCCTTGATGCACCTTAGTTTTGTCTGTAAAGTGAGGTCATAGCGCCCACCCTGGGATTGATTCCTGCAGGGCCTGTCCCGGTCCCTGCAAGTGACGTGCCTTCGGGCAGGTGGGCTGCCGGTTCCCCAGACTCCCAAGCCAGCTCCCTCTGCTGAGCGGGCCCGGAGCCTCGAGTGAGGTTCCGCTGGCTGTGTGGCCTCCGTGCCTGCCTCCGCTCCGCATCGTAAGTGGGGGCACAGCAGGAACCCGGACATTGCCTGGGCACCTTCCGGAGCTCTTTGGACCGCAGGAGGGGCAGGGACGAGGCCCTGCGGACCTGAACGCCGCCGCCCTTTCTCCGCAGCCCCAGCGCTTCAGAAGTCGGAGGCCAAGGCCGGGGCGGTGCCCAAGGTGTCGGGCCTGGAGCGCAGCCGCGAGCTCAGCGCCGAGTGCTTCCTGCCCGCGGCCAGCCCCGCGCCCCCTGCCGCGCCCTGTGCAGGGCCCCCTCCCGGCGCCCGCGCCAGCCCCCTGGTGAAGAAGGAGCCCCCCGCCCCGCCCCGCCACACCCCGCAGCCGCTGCCCGCGCCCCCGCAGCCCCGCGGCCCGCTCCCGACACACGTGCCTGCGTCCCTGGGCGCCTTCGCGGGCCACGGCCTCGGCCAGGCGGCTGCCAGCGGCCTGCACAGCTTCAGGTGGGGGTCCCCGCGGGAGGCGGGACCTGCGGGGCAGGGGCCTGCG